TAGCAGATGGCGGCTTTATCTGCTATGCCACAGTGCTGGCCCCATCAGAGCCTTTTTCTATCTTCAGCCTTCTTCTTCCTTCCCTATCTCCTTATTGCTCTCTTGTTGCTATTTGACTTTCAAACTCTGATTTATACCAAAATCAGTTTTCTCTTCTTTCATGAAACTTTCTAGTCTGCAAGCACAATCTTACCCTCATCTCCTCTTAACACATCTTAATTGAGACCAACTTATGTCCATTTTATTGACATTTTTGCATCTCCTATTTGAATGGTAAATTCTTCTAGATTGTGGATCATGTCTACAACTTCTATTATACACAACTTCCCCAGGGTAGCAAAATGGAAGATATACATTGTTTCTTTCATTTGTCAAACATATCACATATCTACTGAACTCGTATTCTAAGTCAAGTATTAGATGCTAGGAATATAGACATGAGCAAGATACAATCATTTTCATGAGGAATCAGTCCAATTTGGATCCCAGACCTATAAGCAGATAATGAAACTAAAATCTAAGTGTTACATTTTATAAGTAGCTGATTAAATTCAGCCAATCATCAATCATCAGCTAGAAAATTGCATTCTCTCTTTCCTCTTTTACAAATCTTCTCTTTGGGTAAAATACAGTGGTTGATTAAACAGAAAAAAAGCAGGTATAACAAGACTCCCAACATATCAGGGATCCTTTGAAATCATAGAGCCAAAAGGAACCCATTCCCTCCCCAGTCCCTCTAAGGAGGGGAGAAACAAGCCAAGGTTGTGAGAGACTGTAGCGATTCTGCAAAGTTGACAGGAGTCCAAGAGAAACAAACATGAAGCCATATAAGTAGATTAAAAGGTGCAGACCAAGGAGTGGGGAAGAGCTGGCCAGGAAAGAACAATGGCCTTATAGACACTCAGAGAGAAGGAAGCGACTTAATAAGAGCTGAGCCCAAAGCAAGTGGGCTGGAGTTTCAATCTCACCGCAGCTGGATGTAGTAGGAGCCGTAGGGTGTCAGGGTGTAAATTTGAGGGGAAGGAAAAGAAAACAAACACACAACCTGCTTTCTGCTCTTTCATCTCAGTCCTGATCAGTTCAGTCATGGCTCTGAGCCCATCAATTGGTAGTGGCCAATTCGGTGGCCAAGATAAAGCTTGGAATGCTTTGGCCCCTTGCTCAAATGCTTCTTAGAAACAAGTTGGTCCAAGCTACACTGCTGGTCCACATGATCCAGCTCCTGTTCATTCTTTTTTTTTTTTTTTTTTTTGACAGGCAGAGTGGACAGTGAGAGAGAGAGACAGAGAAAAAGGTCTTCCTTTGCCGTTGGTTCACCCTCCAATGGCCGCCGTGGCCGGCGCGCTGCGGCCGGTGCACAGCGCTGATCCGATGTCAGGAGTCAGGTGTTTCCTCCTGGTCTCCCATGCAGGTGCAGGGCCCAAGCACCTGGGCCATCCTCCACTGCACTCCCTGGCCACAGCAGAGAGCTGGCCTGGAAGAGGGGCAACCGGGTCCTGTTCATTCTTAAACTGAACCCACAGGCACTGAGCTCTGCCTTTAGAATCTGCGAATGAGCACCCGAGATTTGTCTCTCACTGCTGCGTGCTCCTGGACAAGCCCCCTTGAGGTACTGCCTTAGAATAACCAGAACTGGGATGGGAATCCTATAGAGTCTTCTCTGGCTTGGAGATTCTCTGTGCTCAGTAATATTTAACTGGCAAATGAGCACCTCTTGGAGGTGCAACGAGAAATATGGGATCAAAAGGCAAATTGTCATGTCTTCTTTTTCAGGGTCTATTAATTTTTAAATTCTTATTTATAAGGCCACTCTAAATCATGGCCTATGTTTTCAGAAGTCTCAGAAGACTGTCACTCAGTGTTACTGTAAGGACTTAATTTTTAAAGACCATTACACAGGGGCTGGCATGTGGCGAAGCTTGGTAAGCTGCTACCTGCAATGCCGGTATCCCATATGAGCACCAGTTCAAGTCCTGGCTGTTCCACTTCTGATCCAGCTGCCTGTTAATGGCCTGGGAAAGCAGCAGAAGGTGGCCAATGTGTTTGGGCCTCTACACCCATGTAGGGGACCCACATGAATCTCCTGGCTTCATCTGGGGAGTGAAAACCGTAAGATTGAAGTAGTCTTTCCCTCTCTCTGTAACTAATCATACAGATGCTCAGGTCTCAGGTGTTCCGTGGAATACTAGACTGTCATTGGAAAAGAATTGGCATTTCAGGAACTCTTGCCAGTCACGTAGCTGGTTAGCGGTCAAGTTTGGACTACAGCCCTGCCTACCTGTTCCCCAGAACAATGAACTTGTGACCTCTACCCCTACACCTCCTGTCTCTTAATTCCACTCATCAGGAGGTCTTTAAGTGCTAACTATACATTTAGCACAATGCAATAAGTTGTGGAAGCTTGTCCTCAGTTGGAGAAATTAGCCTTGAAACAGATAGAACCATGCATTAGCATGATGGCCCAGAGTCCTCCAAGATGAAGACAACTCACTTTTCTTAATGTTGTACTGCTGCAAAACCCAGTTAGTACAAATTTGGAAAAAAATGAGTAGATACAAGGGCAAAAATAGTTGAATATGTCTCCTGCCAGTGTTATGAGAGAGAGGAGCTGGGGGTTGGGGCTGGGATGGAGAAGCTGAAGGTGGAGCCCTTGTTTTGTTGGAGGATTGAAATAACAGTAGGTGGGGCTGGCGCTGTGGCGTAGTGGGTAAAGCCATTGTCTGCAGTGCCAACATCCCATCTGGGCACTGGTTCGAGTCCTGGCTGCTCCACTTCTGATCCAGCTCTCTGCTATGGCCTGGGAAAGCAGTAGAGGATGGCCCAAGTCTTTGGGCCTCTGTACCTGTGTGGGAGACCTGGGAAAAGCTCCTGGCTCTTGGCTTCAGATTGGTGCAGCTCTGGCTGTTGCGGCCAGTTGGGGAGTGAACCAGAAGATGGAAGACCTCTCTCTATCTGCCTCTCCTTCTCTCTGTGTGTAATTACTACTGCTGCCTCCTTTCAAATAACCAGGCTTCACCTAATTCAATTTTTAGTCCACAAAAAATCCTGACTTTTGAATATTTGGGATTACTCCCCTAATATTTAAAAATGAGGACAGAACATGCAGGCGGTTTGCTGCAAGTGCTTGAAGTGGTTTTGTTTTGGAAACCTTGTTGGGTCAGCTATAGTTACTTGATTGTATGCTTTTTAATTAGTCAGAGGTTAGGCTATTCCATGACTGCTAATGACAAAGATTCTCCTTTCATTTTCACACTAGCAACAAGCTTTCTGAACCTCTCCTACTTTCTTTGTTGAACAGCCTTTCAACAAGAGTAAATAAAAATATTTGAAGAAAACAAATCATTCTCCACAAATGAGCACATCTGCTGTTTTCGTTTTCAGGACTTTTCCCAGTGCCCATGCATATAAGATGTATTTATTTATTTGAAAGTCAGAGTTACACAGAGAGAGAAGGAGAGGGAGAGAGAGAGAGAGAGAGAGAGAGAGGTCTTCCATCAGTTGGTTCACCCCTCAATTGGCCGCAACAGCCGGAGCCAGGAGTTTCTTCCAGGTCTCCCACGCGGGTGCAGGGGCCCAAGGACTTAGGCCATCTTGTACTGCTTTCCCAGGCCACAGCAGAGGCCTGGATCAGAAGTGGAGCAGCTGGAACTTGAACCGGTATCCATATGGGATGTCAGCACTGCAGGCGGCGGCTTTACCTGCTACACCACAGCGCCGGCCCCTGTGTTTTTATCTAAATACAATTGTACTGTGTGGCTGTGGCTTTGAGATCCATTTTTCTCCTTTGGAGTACACAGTCAACATTTCCGTATTGCTATAATTCATCATATCTCAGAGGCTAGCTCAGCCATTATCTGGGTTCCTCATTTCCCTGTTCTTGGCCTTTGAGGTCTATTACTCACCTCATCTATTTAGGTGGAATTGTCATGGAGACATCAAATCGTCCCCGTGGCAACTGCGTTCTGGAAGATGAAATGAGCAAGCAGCTCCAGGTATCTTATGTATCCACCAGACAAAAAGATGTCACTGGGACTGGTTGGTAGATGCTTGTACCTACGGCAGGATGAAAATGTCACCAACAGTTTGTAACTAAGATGTACGATAACATTTGCCCTTATAATAAATAGCATTTGGGGCTGGCGCTGTGGCACAGTGGGTTAACGCCCTGGCCTGAAGCGCCAACATCCCACGTGGACACTAGTTCAAGTCCCGGCTGCTCCACTTCCGATCCAGCTCCCTGCTATGGCCTGGGAAGGCAGTAGAGATGGCCCAAGTCCTTGGGCCCCTGCACCCACGTGGGAGACCCGAAAGAAGCTCCTGGCTCCTGGCTTCAGATAGGCGCAGCTTCGGCCGTTGCGGTCAATTGGGGAGTGAACCAACAGATGGAAGACCTCTCTCTCTCTCTCTCTCTCTCTCTGTGCCTCTTCTCTGTGGAACTCTGACTTTCAAATAAATAATCTTTAAAAAAAAAATAGCATAAAAATTAAGGGTACTACCACACCTTGTGCTTATGCCAGCACAGGATCAAGGGGACAATATTGCTGGTACTCTTTGCACCAGAGGTGGTTGTCCTCTGGCCAGAAGGAACAGGGTCTCCTGTTGGCTTCAGGTTATTAGGGGAGGGAGGGCAGACTGTACACGGAAGGCCAGCCTGGCCTTTCCCGCTTTCTCCGGCGACAGAAATCAACCAAGTCCACCTTGCCGGAAAGGTAGAAAGGATTGAGGGAAAGAGGGTGGCAGGTGGAAACGGAGCAGGAGGCTCCACAGAGGAGGAGTCTGGTTCCTTATCAGGATGGGAGGGCAGGGAAGAGGTCCCGCGGGGCCAGCCGAGGTGGCCCCAGCTGTGCGCGCGCTACACGGGCGGCCTGGCTCGGACTCTCGTTCGCGGAGGCGAGGGCGGGGCCTCAGGGGTTGGGGCTCAGGGAGGCCGGGTCCAGGGTGAGCGGGCGATGCCTGAGGAGGCGGGGCCTCGGGGAGGCGGGGCTGCAGCAAGTCCTGCAGCTGCCAGAGCGCTCTGAGCGTTGTGCCCTGCGCCTCCCGTCCGGCTCCCAGTGCGGTCGCCGCGCTCTCGCCCAGCCATGCTCCTGCTGCTGGGGCTGTGCCTGGGGATGCCCCTCTGCGCGGGGTTGCAGGAAGAGGCGCGGAGATGGGGTGACACTTCGGAGCAAGTAAGTGGGAGAGCCCGAGGGAGCCAGGGAGCCCGGGCGCAGCTGGGATCCCTTCCCTCCTCATCCCCAGGCCCCGTGGCTTGTGGACAGCGTCCCCCTGACGGGTCCTGGATGTGAAGGAAGGAGGCATCACCTTCCCTCTCCTTCCCCCTAGTCGCTGGCCCCTGCTTCTGCCCGGGAGTGTCTCCACCGATTGAGTCACTTGCGGATCCCTTCTGCACCCTCTGCTCGGGTCTTCTGCAGAATTGTGCCTGGGACCTCCAAGTTCTGCAGACTAAGTGTTCTTCGTGGCTCTTGTTATCTGTGCGCATTGCTGCCGGTCGTTTTGTGAACTCCCCGAGTTCCTTACAAGTTTTCTTCTCCACCACGTGTGTGTGTGTGTGTGTGTGTGTGTGTGTGCGGGGGAGGGGGGTAGTCTGTTGTGACTGTTGCTCCTAGCTCATGCGGGAGAAAGGCCAATCTGGGAAAAGTTCCAAACTCCCGGAAGGCTCCGCTTTTCCCATCTGAAAACTAGAGAAAACGAATTTTTCCATTCGGTTCTTATCAACGATTCGTCAGTTAAACGTGGCTACCGGGTCGCGCCAGCACCTAGAATCAAAGCGGATGGCAGTTCTGCTGGTTGAAATTGGGTACATCTGCCAGGACTTGCGTTTTAAAGGGCTTTGTCCACAGGTGAACAGATCCTGTGCACGTGCAATCTCTAGGAAAGCTCTTTGAAAACCGCAGATCAAACTCATACAAAAATGATTGCAAAGATCTTGCGTGAGAAATGGCTATCGCCATTACACAGTGCGGTCCACACACACCGTCATGTAAATGATATTTAAATTGTTTAGCCTAAAGCATGTTTTCGCCTGATGGGGCAGAGAGGTTAGTAGGCATGCCACTTTGCTGCTTTTCAGCCCCATGTTTCCAAGGGCAGATCTGGAAGATGGAACCTGCCTGCTTGTCAAATGGTTATTTTCATGCTACCTCTTTTAACTTGCTTATCTGTAAAATGGAAGTCAGTGCAGTTCTCCTTCAGAGTTATCAGAAGGAAAATCTGCTAAAAGTTCCAGGAGGCTTCATGGCAGTGTAGGGAAAGTGCAGCCTTGGGATTCAGAGAGACAGGCTGGATTCCTCTGTCTCTTCCAGTTCTAGCCACAGCACGGAGGACAGCTCCTGTTGGCAACACTTGTAAGGATTCAGCGAGTTTGTGTGAAGGCACAGGTATACAGTGGGCACTCAGTAAATGGTAGATGTTTTAGTAAGTGGAGAAGGGCATTGGCGTTGGCTTTGATGCCAGGTTCCTTGGAGATGAGTCCTGATTCGGTCACTCACCAGCTCCTTGGGTACCTCAATGTCCTCTTCTGCAGATTATGGAAAAGCAATGGGGCTGTGAGGATGGAAGGAGTTAATATACCTAGTGTGCCTAGCGCAGGCTCAGCCCCTCTGTTAGCTGTGGCTGGTAGGCTTCTGCAGCAGGAGCACTGAGGAAAGGAATGTGGGGTAAAGATATGGAGACTTTGTTGAGGGGTGGAGGGAGGAGAGTGTGGGAAGAACTGGAAACAAAGATTCTGTTTATGAACTAGGAGGACAGATGAAAGCTCTAAGGTCCCCAAGTCCAAGGAGGTTTAACCCTCTCAGCTTCTCTCCTTGGAAAAACACAAATTTGGTCCATGCTGTCATCAATCCACAGCAGTATTTATTTATCTGGGGTGGCAGTGGGGAGAGTAAGGTTCAATGAAAATTTGCATTCATACCTTTTAGCCCTAGGTTTTTAATTTTTTATTTTAAAATTTTCTTTTTAAAGCTTATTTTAAAAGTTTTCTTTTTGGCATAGATCTTAAGAGCACAGGCTCCAGAACCAGACTTTGTGGGTTCAAATCCTGGCTCAGCACTTACTGGGAGTTACTTAATGTCTGTAAGCCTCTATCTCTGAACAAGGGTGATGAGATTAAAGGATTTAATTAAAGCCTTTTAACTAAAAGAATTTTGGAGAGTGAAAGAACTAACATACTTAAATCTTGGAACAGAACTTGGGAATGTAGTTAATGTTCTATTCTCCATAATTATGGTCTTCAAAGTTCTATGTAAACTTAATTTTAAAATTGAGCACAAGTTTCTTAAGTAATTAAGTAAGGAAGGGGAGGAGGCATTTAGCATAGTTGTTAAGACACCACTTGGGATGCTTGTATCCCATATTAGAACCCTGGGATTGAGTCCTAGCTCTGCTTCAGACTTTAGCTTCCAGCTAATGTGTACCCTGGGAGGCAGCAGGGTGATGGCAGCAGGTACTTGGGTTCCTGCCACTCAAGTGGGCAACCTCAAATGAGTTCCTGGCACTTGGCTTCAGTGTGACACAGCCCTGGTGTTTGCAGGCATTTGAGGAGTAAACCAGTGGATAGAAGATCACTTTCATTTTTTTTTTAACAGGTAGAGTTAGACAGTGAGAGAGAGAGAGAGAGAGACAGAGAGAAAGGTCTTCCTTCCGTTGGTTCACCCCCCAAATGGCTGCTACAGCTGGCGTGCTGTGCTCATCCGCAGCCAGGAGCCAGGTGCTTCCTCCTGGTCTCCCATGCGGGTGCAGGGGCCCAAGCACTTGGGCCATCCTCTACTGCCCTCCAGGGCCACAGCAGAGAGCTGGACTGGAAGAGGAGCAACCAGGACTAGAACCCGGCACCCATATTGGATGCTGGTGCCGCAGGCAGAGGATTAACCAAGTGAGTCACGGTGCTGGCCCCGAAGATCACTCCCTATCCTTGTCTCTCCTTGCCTCTCTGCCTTCCAAATACATAAATGTAAACAAACCGATAAATTTAAATATAACAAGATATTATATTTGAAGGTAGCTGAATATGTCTATTATGTTGCAGTATAATTTACTTTTGTCATTTACCTTTCATTGGAAATATACCAATAATACCTTAGATTCAGTTCCTCCCTCCAACCCTTACTGTCAGCCTGCCAGTAAATATTATTATTCACAGTGGAGTGATTATGAAGAGTAGTGGTTTTGCAATCTTCAGTGTGCAAAAGTCATTCAGAGAGTTCACAGATTCCCAGGGTCCACTCCAGTCTACGTAGATCCATTGGGCTTGGGGTGGGCATCTTGATGATTCTAATGTAGGTGATGCACAAACTACACTTTGGATAGCATCATTTTCAGGATTTCAGTCTTTCAGGAGACTAGTGTTGTAGAGGAAATCTCCTTGGATAAAGTCAGTCTGCTGCTTTGTGTGCTTTGTAAGTTTCCAGTTTATGATTCCTTCAAATAAGCTTAGCTGTATTCATGTTATTCCAAAAGCAATTTGAAGTTTACAAAATAGTAATAGCCACTGGTTACTGAGTGTCCCTTATGTCCCACAGAGCTTGCTAAGGGCTTTATGTAAAGGTAATAAGAAGAAGTAAAGTGTTATGGCTCATAGCACTCAAGTCGACCCAGACTGCCTGGGTTCAAATGCGGGCTCCAGCACTTACTGGCTGCATGTACTTGGGCATGTACTACTTACCCAGGTCTCAGTCTTCACATCTGTGAGATAGAGTGGTTTGTAACTCCTACCTCAGGCAGGGATGCCTCTGGGTTTCAGGAAGGGAGTAAAGTTTCTACAATGTGCAGGGCCCTACTCAAGAACACGAATATCAAATTGTGACTACCATATTAGATACTAAAGTGAGCATCTATTTAGAATGAGAAACAATGCATTAAAAATTATATCTTTGGATAATCTGACAAATCCTACAAATATCGTCCATTTTTCGGGGCCTGTGACAAGTCATAGATTCTGAAACTTATATTTTCTTAGCTTTTAAGTGATAATAATAGGACATTCAATAAAAATAGTTAACCCTGTTATATGCTATTATGGTTGCATGAAGATTAAATGAGTAAACTGAGGCACAGCATTCGCAGGTATTAAGCACTAAGGTTGTATTAGCTCTTTTCAATATTTCTGTGCATCGTAGCTAAAGCTGTGACCACACTCAGTCTCAGTGTGCTTTATAAAAGATAGGGAGGCCCACCCAGGGGAAGTGACACACCAAAGTTACTCTGTACACAGCCTGGATTGGTGCCCAGCTCTACTGACTGCCAAAGCTGGAGCTCTCCATGAATTCTCCAGATAACAGACCACATACAGATTTATAATTTAGTTTAATTTGTCTAAATACAATTTTTATTTGCAGCTCCAGCCACATAGATAGCGTAGCTCCTGGTCCGTAGACCAATACCTACTTGTCATCATTCAAATACCTCTTGTGACAAAACTAATTTCCTGAAAGAGAAATTCGGGATTTTTAATTTCTTGTAAATTCCCTCTCAGAAATCTTTGCATTTGGATGAAAAAAAATGGAGACTTAAGACAACTATTTTTTTTAGCTCTTTTAAAAAGAAAACCAGATCCCTCAGTAATGTCTCCCTTATGTGCACAGATATGATTGTTCAAATGGAATTGGAGAGTTGAATGGGGAAGGAGGATGTTGTGGGAGAAATTCCAGGGATTTTCTCACTCCTCAAACAGCCATAGCTTGTTTCCTGGGGGCGGAGAAGGGTGGGGGAGTCCTGGCAACTGGGTGATGAGTTGTATGCAGCTTCGTGTTCCTAACTAGCTCCCTCCCTGAAGTTTTGCGTGCTAAGATTTAAGAAAGTTTTGTTTAATGTGTTGTCAGAATGTGGTCAGTCCTGCCCGCAATGCTTCAGTATCTGAGGAAGAGCAAGGCTGATTCAGGAGGATGTGCACACTGGATGACGACCTGGATTTTTTTGGGGGGGGCAAAGGGAAGTGGCGTCCTGAACCACTACATTATTTTCTCCAAGCAAAGTCTATTTCTCTTATTTTTCGATAAAAGCAACAGGGCAGCCTAAGGCCAATTTATTTTTAACTTTAATCTCCTGATTGGTGTTTGTTTGGAATTTTAGTTCAAATTTGAAATTTCTTCTTCCATCCCTGAGGTGATAGGCACCCCGTATTGCAAATGGTTAACAGCTGAATAACTTGCAGAAACATTATTCCAAAGGAAGA